CCTGAAGTCCGCATTTACTACGGCTCCAATTTTGGTACATCCAGACTTTACAAAGGCCTTTTATTTAGAAACTGATGCTTCGGATTTTGCTTTGGGAGTTGTACTTTCACAAATGGAAAAAGACAAGAAGCTCCATCTGGTTGCATTCTATTCTTGAAAGTTCTTTGCTGCTGAAATCAATTATGAGATCCACGATAAAGAACTTCTTGCTATAGTGGATTCTTTCCAAGAATGGCATCACTTTCTTGAAGAAGTTGTATATCCAGTGATCGTATACACAGATCACAAGAATTTGGAGTATTTCATGTCAGCTCGAGTTCTAAATCGACATCAAGCTCGATAGAGTATGTCGCTATCTAGGTTCGATTTTGTTATCACTTATCGACGTAGAAAGCAACAAGGACTATCTGATGCCTTATCGAGGAGATTGTATCTTGTACCAAAGGCTAGAGAAGTAGCGTTTGATCAACAATATATGATGTTATTGAAGCCAAAGTAATTTCGGCTTTGCGCTACTATAGTGCCAATTGATGCTGACTTCTTGAATCAGGTACGTGCCGTGACCATTGAAGATTCAGTAGCCATTGATATCAAGCACCGTGCCAATGACGACAAGTTCAAGGTGGAGGAAGATCTTTTATACTTTGAGGAGTAGTTGTATATCCCAAAAGGACTAGCACAACTCCGAGTTCTTCAACCTCGCCACAATTTTCCAGCTGCGGGACATTTTGGATTCAACAAGACCTTGGAGCTTATTTCTTGAGATTTTTGGTGGCCCCAAATGTGGAAGGATGTGAAAGATTTTGTCCTCTCCTATGACATCTGTTCAAGATCCAAGAATCCTCGGCAATGCCCTTATGAATTCCTACAGCCATTGTCGATTCCACGTCGACCATGATCTTCAGTTTCCATGGACTTCATCATGGACCTGCCATCATCAAACTCATTTGACAGCATCTTTGTCATGGTAGATCGGCTTACAAAGATGGCACACTTTGCTTCTTATAAGAAGACATCATCCAGTGAAGTCACAACAATGCTCTTTCTTGATAATGTGTATCAATATCATAGACTATCAGATGATATCATATCAGATCGAGGAACCCAGTTCGTATCAAAGTTTTGGAGATCTCTCTTTGAGATACTGAAGGTGGATATCAAGCTTTCTTCGGCTTTTCATCCTCAAACTGACGACCAAACAAAACGGGTGAACCAAGTCTTGGAACAATACTTACAATGCAGCATCAACTATCAGCAAGACGATTGGACCACATATTTGCTGCTAGCTGAGTTTACATATAACAACACTCTCCATGCGTCGACTCAATACACACTATTCTTTTCCAACTATGGGTATCATCCAAAGCTAGATTTATTGAGTCCGTCAATAAATAACAATCCATCGGCTGAAGGATTTACAAAACAACTATGAGAGCTTCAAAATACGTTGAAGCTTCAATTACAATCCGCTCAAGAATCCTACAAGACATCTGCAGATAGATTTCGGAATCAAGCACCTACTTTCAAAATTAGAGATAAAGCATGGCTTCTTTAATAGAATATCAAGACGAAGCGACCATATGATAAGTTGGACTATCAAAGATTGGGACCATTTATCATTCAGAAGCAAATCAATCTAGTGGCGTACCATTTGGAATTACCAGCTTCTATGAAAGTACATTCAGTCTTTCATGTTTTTTTGTTGAAGCCTTATCGAGAGTCGTCTTTTCTTGGAAGAGTGCAATGTCTGCCACCTAGTATTGAGATCGAGAACCACGAAGAATACGAGGTTGAAAAGGTACTGGATTCACGATGAAGGTGGGGCTAGTTGGAGTATCTTGTTCATTGGTACGGCTATGACATTAATAAGTAAACGTGGGAGTCAACTGAAAATCTTGCCAATGCGCCACAAAAGGTATAGGAGTTTCATCAACAACATCCTCATAAACATAAGCTGGTTCGACAATAGCTTCCTTCTGAAGCTTGCTCACCCAAGAATATAAGAAAAGGGGAGAGCACCACCAAAATTTGTAGTTGATGTAGTTATTTTCTCCAAGATAAAGTAGAATTTTTTCAATAGCCATAGTTTGGTCTTCTGATATGGATAGCCAAGAGATAGATACTATGCCAGTCAGATTATCTCAACCAACTAGCTCATGAAGGCGACCCCGAGATGAAGAACTACTTACACCATGATGACGACGGAGGATACTGAGTAACCGATCATTGGTTATTGTATTTGAATTCGAGCGTGCTTACAATGGTCAACCAGAAGGCGTATTTGTAGGACAATTTCACAATAAGGACATGGAAGTTCATGCTTGGTCAGAAGTCGAAGGCATGGGCCACTATCATTGGCTTCAAGGGCCAATAAACCACTTGCCTCGTGAACATAAAGTCAAAACCATCTATAAAGCTTTTAGAAAGCTTTTCTAGAAGATATTATGAAATCAATCTTGTTTTACTTACTTCTATCTAATCATATAAATGATAATTGAAATAAATACGTATGTCTATCATAGGAAATCTTCCAATGAAGCTCCTCCTATGAATCGAAGCTCTACTAGAGCAATTTTGAAATCAAACTTTTTCTACAAAGTAGACAATTTATATTTCTTCTTCAATGTTGTCCCAAGCATAAATGGATCTATATGCAATTTGTGCTAGGTGGCATAAATTTCTGCTGCCTTGAAAGTAGGTGGCACGACCATTGTTGCAACAACAGCACTAGAAGTGGATGCAGGGATCGATGGCGTTGCCCTAGCAGAGGTAGAGCTTGAGCTGGCTCCAACAGCTTGGGCGCTGGTCTCATTGGCGCTGGTCTCAGTTCTCGAGCTCATTCCCTTCACTTCCGCCTGAATCTCCCCAGGTGCCCCATGAGTTGTTGCTGCCTCCATGTGGTAGGGACAATGTTCATGTGGGATCACAGACGTACCACTATCCTTCTCGCGAAGGATTTGTTCAACATAGAATGTCCATAACGAATAATTCTATGCTCCAACTAATTTCTCATTGTCAGCAAAGGAGATTTTTGTTGCATCAGCAAAGGACATCGTGGGCAAATCTTGCTAAGCTAAGATTTCAGTTTCAGGAGCGTTTAGGCTCTGATACCATACAGAAGTGTTCACAAAAAATCGTAAAATTGTATTAGTTCACACACGAGTAGGAGAACAGGCGACGAAGTCCAAGACATGATCGAGGGAGAGATCCCAGGATAAGCGGCCATCTAGAGAAGGGTAGGCGGCCACAGAGTGCATAGAGCACTTTCTGTTTCTAGCTAAGCTGAGCCGTCCTCCTTGCTTGTCCGCTAATGATCAGCCAGTGATCCGGAAGAACAATAACCGGGAGGTCCTAATCTCCAACAGAACGTTGCTTTTGATATTTAGGTATAGTTAAGTCATCTTAAAAAAAAAAATCTGCTTTGGAAGAAGAATGGAACCAAGGAAAAAACAGAAAGCATCAAAACATCAAAACATCAGCAAAATATTCTGCCTTGTATTTCTTAGAAACCCTGTATCTTCCTCTGACAAGGGAGATAGCTTTGCATTGTACGTGCCAGTCTTTCAAGTGAGTGTGTTCACGCTAAACTGTGCTGCAGAAGCCAAGCGCATGCATGGGCCTTCCAATCAGGATCTGAACCTACAGAAGCAAATGTTGGTGTAACAAAAGCCAAGAGTTGCGCACATCGAATTATCTCGTTGACTCGACCAAGCATACAACGCATGCGTCCACTGAGATAGCAAGGTGAGGGAAGGAGTTGATAGACAAAGTGGAGGAACTCTCTGCGAATGGATGTACCGACAACATGATCAGCTCACTCAAGAAATCAAAGCATTTTTCCTTACTGCATGATTTGGAAACCTTTATGATGGGATTATTTGCATCAGTCGACCTCTGTAACGCTTTGCTGCAATCTATCATATGTCATGTATATGTTAGACTTATCATTTCAGTAGTGTCCCTTACGTGTAAATTGTGAGCTGCAGTTAAGACCTCCATAGAAGCATTAAGAAAGAAAATTACCCCGTAAATTTTAAGAAAGTTAATTCTGTGCAGCTTGGAAGATGGTGGCCATTTCTTAAGGAAAATCATTAACATGTCGACTATTGAGAGAATGGGACTAAGAGTTTGCTGAGATCACATAGTGCAGCGGAAATGTCCAAAGAGTCGCATCGTCCTGTGTTACGTTTGTTCAGAAGCTTTGCTCGTAGTTGCTGATATTGAGGTTTACGATCTTGAAACATATGCAACTTTGCACTTTGTTTAACATATTGTGCAAATTAATTAATGGAGTCAACTCGTCTGTATAAAAATCTTTCAACTTTAACAAGATCATTTCAGCATCAAGCGTATTGATTCTCGAAATGTGTCTCCGTGTACATCCATTGTTGTGTGGATTTACACACACAAAAAATCTTGTTGTATCTCTCAGATTCTTCAAAGCGTGAGAGACATCAAATTCTGTTTGCTGACGTTTGCTTCAGCCTGTTGATTATGCAAAATAGCCCACAGTGGTTTTGTGAAGGTGTCTCTATTTGTCTTCTTCAATATTTACAAGGCTACTATCTGCTCCAGCGATTGAAGGATCAAAACTTGTCCCTGAACGTCCTTCATCTCTCTGTAGTAAATTCTGTTGTCCTTCTGGCGCAGTTCATGAACTGGTTAAAAAATATCAGTGAGAGAACCGCAATCAGCTCCAAGAGCTGGAAATGTTGCAGACCTTGGAAGTCAAATTCTATGGCGAAGCACCACATAGTTGATGTTAAAAGTATTCAAATACCTTCGGAGCATTAGTTAGAAGCTCAATGCAGTGGCTGAAAAGTAGAACAATTTGAAGAAGTATCCAACTCACAAGTGGCACATGTCTGAACAAAAACTATAAGAGAAGTCACGGTTCTATGCAGAATTACTATGGTATCAAAAAGTTGATATTCCATGGAAAGAAATGTCGAGTTATTTTCTGTGTAGAAAACGGACATTTATCATTCATCAAGTCGTTTATTACAAGTTTGTATATCCTACAAGTGAATGTCTCCGCCGGTGTGAGAACTTGCAAGCAGAGGGAGCATTCCATTTAGTCACTTACGGACACAAGTCAGGAGCAGTTTTGAGCAGAATAGAGAATTACAAACTCTTTCGAACTTGTTTGTTGCAGAATGCTGGCATTTCTTTGAAATCTGTTGTGTTTCAGCTGGCCGCTCCAGCTTAGAGTGGCGCCAAAAATCCGCTGTGTGCGATTTTGATGCAGACACATTCGAGAGAGATAAGTTTTGTGCCTACAGTGTTGTATTTATAGTTTAAGCAGCAAGATTACATGGCAGTTCTGCGTGCTAAAGGGATGCCGACTCTTCTCCCTGCTGTAGAGGTTGCAGCTTCGGCTGCCGCACCTTCGATAAAATCCTTCAATTCGTCGCATAGGTACTAAGAATTGTCCTCCCTTCCCAGAAATTCTGATTAATACATAGGGCTAGGATTTGGTGAGGAGTCTCGTTTTGTGAATTGCAGTGTTCAAAATTGTCTCCGCATCTTTCTTTGGCAATTCGAGTTTATTTGTAACGTAGGTTACAATATTATTCATATTTTTCCAAATTCCACCCGTGAGGGCACAGTAGAATCAGGGAAGGGCGTCAGGAGAAGATTCATCATTTCGTGCTGATTACAGTTGAAGGGTTTTGTATTTTTCTAAGGACAGTCTTGCATTCAAACCTCTGTTTCGCCGGACACTCCACTTCGACGTTGTAAAGGATTGCCGTGCTACAGTACATATTATCAAGTTCTTCTAGAAGAATTGAGACCGCTTATGGACATCAATAGTGTCATCATTTATGAATTTAAACTACAACAGTTAGGTTATCTAAAACCGAAGGGTTTGTTAGTTTCTCGAAGAGTCTACCATGGAGTGTGTTGACTGAAGAAAGATTTTACATCTGTCAAAAGATATTTCCGAAATTGAACATTAATAGAGGAAGAGGCTCCTGTAAAAGCTGTCGATGTAATGTGTTCTGTGACAGGTCTTCTTTACTGCGGTCGATTGTATCGCCACAGAATAGCGCGCGCGTATTTAAGCATCGCTTTCTAAGGTCCTCGCAATTGTTGCAAGGCTCACTTCTGGCTTATCCCATGGCTGCTGGAGTGCCGATGCTAGTGGTCGATGCGACATCTCCAGAAGTCTCTCAGATGGCTTCAGGAGAGGTTAGCACTTTAACTTTTCTATATGGTGTCTATCCTCTATTCGAATTAAAACAACTAGGAATAAGTTATCGCTGCAAGTAGAATTGCAATCTGCATATAACCAGAAGGTTTAGACGGATTTGATCTTCAATTAGGTTGAGTGAAATTTGACTAACGCAAGGAAAGGTTTTAGACCTAGGTTTGAAGCTTTTGAATTTTGGTTTGAGGCAACACTTGGTATTGTAAAGACTTCGCTTGATGACTCTTACTGAAACAACTTATTCTCGTCCATTATGGCCTGGTGCCCTCAGGACAAAAATGGGGGAGAAGTTAAGGCGCAACTACCTGACTTGATGGTAAGAATTAAAAATATTCTTCTCTTGGGATTCGGAATTACACGAGCTGTAGATTTATGAAGTTAGGACATCTACTGGAGTGTTGTAGATGGTCACCAGGTTTTTCCATTAAGATCCGATGATTCCACGAGTTCTAGGCAGACACAAATGTTCTCCTGGTTAGAGATTTTATTTTAATGCTCAATGCCTACATATGTGTGTTGCCGTTTCAGAGTCCTATTTTGATTCGGTATTTCATGACGTCGTCTTCTCTTTCAGTGTTCAGAGGAAACTTGTTTTAGGCAAATGCAAGATTGTACTCAGTGTTAAAAGTTTCTATCCCTGAATGTTTGTCATTCAATTCAGAAATAAGTCTTACTGACCACATAGTTTGTTTTCAATCCATAGACAGAGTTCATGGTGGACATGAAATGTGACGGATGCGTCAAGTCAGTGCGCACTAAGTTAGAACCCCTTGCTGGTAAAATGCACGGCTTTGCTCCTTTTGGAATGGGCTTGCTTTTGAATCAAGTATTTGAGGCTTTCCATTCATTTCGAGCACATTTACGTGAGGTTACGTTGTATATTCGATTTTTATGTCAGCCAGTAATCGGTGACTTTGTAGTTCGAAGAACTTGAGGGTTGGCTTGATCCCCTAAGTTGTTCACTCGGCTTGGATGCAGGTGTGAAGTCCGTGGACATCAATCTTGAAAACCAAATAGTGAGAGTTTTGGGCTCAACCACAGTGAAGGACCTTACAGCAGCTTTAGCAGAATCTGGACGCAAAGCCAGGCTTATTGGACAAGGGCTCCCAGAGAGTAAGTTTCATTTAGTGGGTTTTTTTAATCATGGAATCTTTGCCTAGGGTGTGCTGAACCTGTGATCTGGCGTTTTGTACTTCTAGTGCGTTTATGATATTTCCTGGCTTTCTTGGTCCATGTTTATCGTACATTACTGCGGGTATCATCCTCCGAATTTTGTAACGCCTTTATAGATGTGTTTTCAAAGGTTCATTAATGTATTTGCAGCCCTTCTTTATTTCTTAAATCAGTCTTCATTTGCTGATTTACTCAATTTCATTTCTTGATATCTTTGAGCTTGATGAATAGTAAGTTTGTTCCAATGTTGGACTTTTACCATTTGCATAGGGTGATTCACTGAGTGTTACGCCTTCAGTGACTAAGACTTTACACTTAACTTTGCATACTGTTAGTAGCGGTCCTCGTTGAGCACGTAATATTATCAGACGAATTTTATTTCTTTTGAGAGAATGTTAGTTGTGCGCTGCCTTTAGATGAATGTGTCATTAGGAGTGAGCTTACTTTAGCTCAAACAAACCATTTTTTTATTAGCTTTCCTCTTGTTTATATATGGTTTGCCAAGAGTTTCTTGGGAAGCGGGCGACTGTTCAGATGATTCAGAAAACTTCAGGTGGTGGCCTCGTGCAAGATGAAAGTAAAATGATTAGACTGATTCTGATCGACCTTGTTGTGTGAATTGTGTAGACTTCAGTGTTTCAGCTGCCGTAGCCGAATTCAAGGGGCCTCAGATTCACGGAGTCGTTAGATTCGCGCAAGTGAGTATGGAGCAGTTGCGTGTTGAAGCGTCCTTCAGTGGTCTTCCTCAAAGTACCATCGGCTGGTCTATAAACGAGTATGGAGATCTCACACGTGGCGCTGCTAGCACCGGTCAGATCTTTAGCGGCTCAACGGAGCCAACAGCAGCTGATGGCATTGTAAGCTCTTAGGAGGATTTTTGGTTGCTAAAACCTTGCAATTTCTCTTATATCTGTGATGGTGTCTGAGTTTCTATAAGCCGTCAAAATACCTCTGGACTAGTAAATTCATGTCTCATTCCTACTGTTTTTCTCTTCGCTCGAATCTGTTCCGTTTAGATTAGTTCATTTCGAAAGTAAATATGCCTAACTAAACTGTCTTCTTGCAATTATGCTTGTGGTGTATATCTAGATGAATGCATTGATGTGCCAAGTGCGTCACCAATTGAAGAAGGTTTTATTTTTGTTTTCTACAGCCAGGTGACTTGGGGGTTTTGGAGGTGAACAACGAAGGGAAAGCTGAATTTTCTGGTACTAAAGAGAATCTACAGGTAATGGATTTAATTGGCCGTGCTCTAGTAGTGTATGGAGATATTGATAAATCGAAATCAGGTATTAGTGCTGCAGTCATAGCAAGAAGCGCTGGTGTTGGTGAGAATTACAAGAAGCTCTGCCTATGCGATGGCACTATCATTTGGGAATCAACCAACAGTGATTTTGTTAAAGTGTAGGTTGTATAGCATGAGTTCTGTAGAAACATGATGGGATGGAGTGTAACTTGGAAAAGCATATTGAAATCTATCTGGTTGTGACTTTTCATGTCGGATGAAATATTGGCAAAAATAAAAGGGGGTGCCTAGGATTTCCCTCTTACTCACCTGATACCTGCATGAGAACCGCTTGTACTTGGATGAACTCATTAACCCTATATTACACAATAGTCAAGGTATCAGATGAATTGCTCTAGGAAAGAGTATAGTTCTAAGAATAAAGGCAACTCTTTATATTATACATATTGAATTTTCACATGGTATTAGAGCTGAGTTTAGAGAGATTGTGAGTGAATTATCTTTGTAATTGCTAGAAAGCAATTGTTTCTATGTACACTTTGTTGTTAAAGAAAGCAATTATTGAAGCCTAGTGAAAATGTCAAGTTCTAATGATCTTTTGTAAGTTGGCAAGGCTAACAAGTTGGTTGGAGAAGACAACTTTTATGTATGGAGCTTGAAGATGAATACCTTGTGAGTTAAAAATCTATGGAATCTCACCATTGAAAAATTCTCATCAATAACTTATCCATGTACATACAATGGGTGCATATTGTCAAATTTAAGTATGTAAGATGAAGGCAAAAGCTATGAAGATATTGACATTTGCTGTAAAAGACTATTTAATAGTCATAGTGATAGAACATGAAGATCATGTAGATGCATAGAAGGCATTCAAGCACATGTATGAATCTAGAGATCTTGCTATGGTACTCATCTCAACTATAAATTATCTACATTGAAGTTTCAAAACTTTAATTTTGTAGAAGAATTCTTGAAAACAATATGTGAAACAAAAGATTAGCATGCAATACTTATTCAGAAAGTTCCAATGAAGATCTTTGTGCAAAGGAGGGATTAAAGTATCATTGAAGTTGAAGATACTTCTTCAATTTTGAAAAAAAAAAATATTTTAAAAAATTGAATTGAATCTTGTCAAAACCACAAAAAGAAGAAAAGAAGACTTTAATTAGTACCTTAATATTGGAGTCTTACAACATGTAATAAATAATAAGTTAGGATTTAGATCTTTTAAATCAACAAGTTACTTTCATAAAATTAAAGTTGTTAGAAGTGAATCATATAGAATATTTAGACTTAAAAATATTCTTATAAAATAAATAATAGAAATTTAAAGAAGATAAGTAGTATTTTAGTTGTAATTTTTTTTTAAAAGAAAAGCTTGTTTGTTGGTGGATGTTAGGGATATACATATTTATTCTAATAATTACTTAGATAATATAAACAAATAGAAGTAAATAAAAATAGATAAATTTAATAATAGCTTATAAACAAGCTTCTTAGAAGTTTTATAGATATAGCTTTGTCTTTATACATGTTTGTAGCTAATTAATAGATTAGAAACTTAGCCAACAAATTAGCCATGTGTTGCATGTATTGATAGCTTGTAGTACAAACTAACAATGTGGCACACATGTAAGAAACTTGCCTTACAAGTCAAGACACATATCTTCTAAGTTAGATACATGTTAGGTCCTATTAAATGTCACTATATAGCTCTTCATTAGATAGTATATATAGAGGCAAGAATGAAGCCTTTTTTTATTCTTGCCAATTCTTTTCTTACTTCTAATTTAGTTTCAAGGATCTCTAGTTTTTTTTCTTTTTTGATAGTAGCCATTTTAATTTTTTTTTGAATATAGATATATATATATATATCTATATATATATATATATATATATATATATATATTTATTTATATTTTTTTATTTCTCTTTGATATATATGTTACTTGTTTATGTATCTTCTTTGAATTCTTGTCCTTAATAAATTAACAAGAGTATACTTACAATATCAAAGCTTTGTTTTTTTTTTGATAAGACATAAGCATATTAGAAGTTATTGATTATCTATTTCAAAAATAATAATATTTTTAATTTTTTTTTTTGCTTAAAAGTCTTCTCTTCTAATTATCATAAGAAATATTAAATACATTTTTTTTTATTATGTTATCTTAGCAAAGCTTATCGAAATGAAGTTTGCAATGACATATATATAAGAACAATTGCAAGAGTTAATGCTTAGAATACATTAATTTAATTTTATATTATAAGAAATAATAAGATTGGTAGAAAATAAAGATGTAGAAATAATCAAAGCTTCTTTAACATCAATATTAAGTTATGTTATTTTTCTTATAATAAAACACCATTTGAGCATTAAAGAATAAAAAATTGTCTTACTTAAGAAGTTTGATGGCACAAGATCAAAGTTTTAAGAATTTATCAATCAAGTATAATTAGTGATTGAATTTCAATTCTAAAGCTATCTAACTTTAGAATCACAAGTCATATTCATTGATATATTTCTTTTAGGTTCTATATTATCATAATTTTTATCTTTTTTTTGAATGAAGTAATCTAATATTAGATAATTTGGAGGTTTTTTTTTTTTTTTTTCGTAGAATTTGGATCTATATATGGAAAATATAATGCAATTCATATTACAACCAATAAGATCCATATTTTGTGGAAAAACAATTAATCAATAATATTATATGCTTTATAATTTCAACAACTTAGAACTAATATTAAGTAGGATGATGTTGTATTTATTAGCCAATTTTTTTACTGATTATAATATGAGGTAAAAAAATTGATGCTCAACTTATCTAATCGTTAAATATTGAGTTAAACAATTGACTTTGATGTTAAGGGTGACAATTAGCTTTTTGGATTTCGATTTGAGAATTGTATAAATGGGCCTTAATATTTTTATAATTCAATAGCAATACCAACATCTTTTCAACATATACATTTTGAAGGAGAAGATATGTAAATTGACTTGATACATTTGAAACTTCTTACAAAGCAAAAAAAGCTTCATCATTGACAAGAAAGATTATGCTTATATTATAAAAAATCTAAATATACTACTCAAAATTATCCAAAGTAGCAATACAACTACAAAATAAAGAATATAGCTATCAAAAAAGTCAATATGTTTAAAAATAAGTTTGTTCGATAACAACATGGACCTTGGAATTAGAACCTTGTACAATACCAAGTGAAGGTTATATTCCCTCTTTAGAATCTTTTTTTTATTTTATAATAGATATTAATTTAAAATCTAAACATCATAAGGCCCTTATCTTACTAGATTTAAGAGCCTCAATGTGTTTTTTATGTGAAGAATTTATTAAAAGACATAACATACTTTTAGTGACAAAAATTAAAATTATTTATATAAAATTCATAGATAGATATTCATTGTCTTCTAGAAATATATCAAGGATATTGTCAAAGACAAGAACATAATAAAGAAAAATAAACAAGTGAGACTTCTCTCAAAGAAAGATGACAAAATAGAAATAACTTGATATGTATAATAAGAAAGAAACTGAAATGGCTATTGCCAAAAGCCAAGAAAACTAAAGACCTTTGAAACTAGACTAGAAGGAAGAAAGGAGTTGACAAGAATGAAGAAGACTTCACTCTTATTTCTATATATACTATCTTACTAGGGGCTACGTGGTGACATTCTATAGGACCTCCAATATGTGTTGACTTTGTAGGACACATACCTTGACTTACAAGGTAAGTTTTTCTATGTGTTGGCCACATAGTTAGCTTAGTCTTCAAACTAACAATATGTGTGGTACATGGCCAACTTGTTGACCATGTTTCTAATTCCAAAAAATCAATTAAAGATACCTATAAAGTCAAAGCAGTATCTATAGAGCTTCTAGGAAGCTTTCATATCAAATACTATAGAATTAATTTACTTTTACCTATTTTTACTTACTTCTATCTATTTATACATGTAATTATTGGCTTACATGCATATGTTTGTGACATTACCCCCCCTTCTAGGGACGAGTTTTACGAGGAGCGGTAATCATATGTTAAGAAAATCTATAATGCGATGAATTGTATTTGCCACATACTCTGATCTTTGTTCTCTTCGAAGATGATTGATAGGGCTTCTCAACCATCGATAGTATCTCATAACAAGGCAAGAAGACCATCCAGTTATTTGATCATTGTTGAGGCCTTCATAACCACTTTTGAATAAAATATTTGGAATACCATCAAGAATTGTTTCTACCTCTAGTAAAATCACCAAACATTGGGAGTCCCTTCCAAAATCATGATACCAAACACATTGTATCTCGCCATCTATTCGAAGAAGAATATGTCGTTCTTGAAGATCTTCATCTCAATTGCGTCATCTTGAAGGTTGTGACAATCGTAATGTCTCGTTTGGTAGGTCAGCAAACGAAGGCTCTTGAATCGAATCTGCTCATTGTTGGTTCTCTATCTCTTGAGTGTCACAACTATAAAGAAGCTACAAACAAGGATTTAAAGTAGAATGTTATCTTGCCTAGATCTTATTTTTTTTATAAAAATGGTTTTCATTTTGATTTTGATGGATGTCTTTGATGAAAAGCCTTGACTACCTTTGCTGCATTTGTAAGATTCTTTATTGGCTTCCATGTGCATTCACTAATATCATATCTATACCAATAGACAAGATATTAGAATTTATTTCGACGCCGCCTTAAATCTAAGACTTCTTCCACTTCAAACTCTTCATTATTGTCCACTTCTATAGGAAGAGGTGGAGTTTGTCTTCTTCTTGATATGTCCATTGTCTTGTATGGTTCAACAAGAGACACAAAGAATACTGGATGGATTTTCATTGACTCTGGTAGGTATAAAGGATATGCAATTGGATTGATTTGTGAAGAAATAAAAAATGGTCCAAGCCTTCGATAGTCCAACTTATCACAAGGATGAGTGGTTTTGATATTGCAATGAAGTAACCATACCTTATCACCCATATAGAATGGTGGTTGTTCCTTTTGATAGACATCCGCATTGATCTCTTATTGTTCTTAAGCTTCTTTTAACTATACATTCATCATTGCATGTAGCTCTGACAAATGAATTGCCAAATCTTTCGTAGTAGGATTATCAACTTTTAAAAAGTCAAAAGTATCAAGTCGTGGATGATAACCATAATTGACAAAGAATAGTGTTTGTTTTATAGAAGAATGTACTGTATTATTGTAAGCAAACTCTACCAATGGCAAAAGAGTTTTTCAATCATCTTGTTGGTAGTTAACGGTACATCTTAAATACTACTCCAAA